CCCCCCCCCAGCTTCATGGCCTGCATGGAGACGGCACACTAAGACTGAAGAGTCCCTTCACACTGGCTGCTGGTACTATCAGATCCAACCAGCTTCAAAGATCCCAATACAGTCCCAGATGTATGTAAACAGCTGTTGAGAGCATGCACATGTTGAAAACACTGTGTTCAGTCCTCAGCAGCCAATACCAGCCATGGCTGACCACTACAGTGGCCAATTCTTCTTCTTTTGATGTTAGAGCCAATCATTGTTCAAGCAAAACAGTTCTGTATAAAAGAGGAGAAGCTCCAAGGATCAGCAGGAAGAATCAACTTTTAAGGGCTACAGTAAAGTAACAGCATGTTCTGTGTTCTCTGCATCTTGTACCGACCATGTTCATTCGTCTTAAGCCCTATTCTAACGGGATTAGTTTTACCTAGAGACCCCATGCTATTTGTAATAATTACAGAGATTGTCTGTGTTGTTAATCCCATGAGAATTGGCCATGTCAGTAATTTGTAAAGTAAAAATTCCTCCACAAATGACCTACTATAATTCGCTGAACTCCGAGGTCCTGTGATAATACTAATCCAATGAATAGGCATCTCTGTGATTTGGACAGGAATGGGCTGAGTCCCATATGTAATTAGGCGGTTTTGGTTTCCTTGGTGCATTTTTATTTACTTTTGGTGATGAATGGAGGYTGGATTGGAGTGCACTGAAAACTTTTTGGGTCCCGGGCCGGAAAAACCCGACACATTACGTGTGCCATAAAAATAAACAAATAACTAAACTAAACTTCCCCCATCCTGTAATAGAGTTACAAAGGGGCACATCAATACTACAGTGCCACCTGCTGGACACATTGAAACCCACGCCCTGTGAAAGCATCACAGCTTTGCCGGTGTCAGAGTGTTAAAAGAAAAAATTCCTGTATCCGCATCGTGATCTGGAACATCACCAAAATTTAATGGTGTGTTCCTTGGCCCAGTATCCACATGTGGTAAAAAAAAATTTCATGACAATCCGTCCACAAGTTTTTGAGTAATGCTGTCCACAGACAGAATGATAGAATGACAGACGCGACCGAAAACATTACCTCGCCCTTAGCAGAGGTAAAAAGGCTGAAGAGAGGGAGCAAAATCAGTTGCAAATGGTGGCTCACGGTGGGCAYGCACCCTCGCCAGCTGTGAAGGTGTTCATACATGTCAACTCCTTTGGACGTTTACCTAATGAGCCTCAAAAATCTATATATTTTGCTAAAATCTGTACCACTCGTACCCACGCGTGGGGATGGGGTGGGGGTTTGTCAGCTGTGGAGATGACAGTGCCTGCTGTAGAGCAGGAGGAAAGGAGAGCGGAAAAAGTGGATAACTTGATGTTTATTGTTGTTTTTTTTAACATCAGTTCAACGCCGTGTTCAACTAAATAGACAACTAACCAGACTTCAATATCACATTCGGGAGATGTCTGTAAAGTTTAGGAAAATCTCAGGCTTCGGTTATCCCGTGCGAAAGCGTCACATAAAACACAGACATCGGGGAGTAATTTATTTATTACATGGTGTCCCCAGATAATTCTTATCCCATGTGAATAGGGCTGCAGTAAATACAGACTGTGTTCTCTGTATCACATACAAAACATTACACACTTGTTCTATGCATCACTTAAAGACCATGATACGTGTTCTCTACATCATGTACAAAATGTGTTACGTGTTGTCTGCATCATGTACAGACTGTCATTTTCTGTGTCATGTACAGACCTTACTCTGCATTATGTATAGGCCGTGTTATCGGTGTCACACACTGACCATGTTTTATGTTTTCTCTGCATCATGTACAGAAGCAGATTTAGCTACATCCATCTTAACTGCATCTTTTCTCCGAGCCTTGTCTGTGTACAAAAAAAATCTTTTTTCAATGTCAAGACTGAAACCTTCGCTGAAGAACTCTCACTGTGTCCGTGAWGACTGTGATGGAGAAGCTGTTGGACAGTTTGATACAGAATTATCATCTTCATCATCACAGAGTTTGGGTGGATTTAAAGTCAAACCACTGAAGCTCAACATCCTGACTGACGGTCTTTTTTCTCTTCTTGGAGTCAGGCAACTGTTTGCTGTGACCTCCTTTCTGTTGATTCTAAGCTTTTACATAATCAACATAATAAAAAGGTCAGGGGTCGGATTTATAAAACTTGCGTACGCACAATTTGAGCCCAGAAACTTGCGTTCGCCACTTTTTACGCCAAGGTTGTGATTTATAAAATCCAAACTTGACGTGAAAATGTGCGGTGCCTCACAGCTCTGACCCATG